GAAAAAAAATTCAAAACCACTCTGGACACTGCCACACTAGTGGAAAATTGAAATTGGGACTTCACCTTCTTCTGACTTCTTCTTTTGCTTAGCTAACTGCCTTTGATTGCTGAAAAATAGCCAGTTTCAATTGGCAGTTTAAGGAGCCACGACGGGTCAAATGAGTGACTAGTCGACAGTCGACTAGAGTGGGAGATTAGAGCGCCTAAATTCTAGGAGATGCCAGCAAGGACTGCTACTAGCAAGTAGCAACGGAGGTTGGACTACAAGTGATAGTGACCGGCGTTGACGGAGACTGGAGAGGAAGTGGTGAGAGAGAGACATGATGAACGGACGAAGGGTTTTGATTTTTTTCAAATGGATGAATTATGAATGGAAAATGGGTTAATTGATTTTTTAGGGGAATGGGTCAGGGTTTGGGTAAGTAAACGGGTTGTGGGTTGCGGACAATTGGGCATTAGGCTTTTCTTTGGGTTGGAAGATAGTGAACAGGCTAATAAATAAACAAAAAAAAATAAATAATAAAAAAAAATACAAACAAAATTTCTGGGGCTGGAGTCGATGCCCGCACTCGACCTAATGGGGCTCCGCACCGACAACAATAGTATTCAACTAAGCACGAAATTCAAAGGAATTCTCAATTTTCATATCATGCACAAGTAGTGGACCATCTAGTTTAATTTGCCAAATAGATGCATGCTTGTCTACCATTATTTCACAACTCATTTTTTCTTAAACTCATTTTCAACTACACATTCTCACAATAAAATATTTTAAACGTAAATTCCCCCTAAATTGAGGTGTCCTCAATTGAACTTTTAATGAAAACTATTAAAATTTAGGTATCCTGACTGACTCGAGGTTCTTGTTTGAAGTCGTTTGTTTATCACAGAACAAATTTGTCTTTTATTCTCTCTCATAGTCCATTCTTGAAAGAATGAATACGCCCAGATCCCCAAGCTCTTTATTTTTTTCTTGATTCAATTAATATTTAATTGTGGATTACCCTGCCAGCAAGCAAATTCCAAACTTGGTATACTCTCTTTGAGGAGGGGGAGACTCTGTCCCTAATTGAGATTTTTAATAAAATTCAATGAAATTCTTTAAAATTTAGATATTCTCAATAACTAGTGGATTTATAAAAATTTCTTTAATAGAAGGATCTAAAAGATTTGGATGTATTTCAACTTTAAAAATACATATAACCAAATCTTTTGAAATTTCACCAAATTTGATAAGATTATTATGGAATTTGTGAAAATCTATTCAAATTCACAAAATTTATTAGGATTTATAATTTTTTAAAATCTATCACAATTAAGTCTTAATTGAGTACACCACGTAAATATGACATTATGAGATCACATTTAAATGAACCAACCATGGCAGTGTCACATATACTGGTGATTACAAGTTGGGTTATACAGAGCGTTACTCGATAATAAAAGTAACCGCTATATCATACCTTAATTCCTTAGTAATTTGCCTAATTTCAAGTACTAAATTCAGTTTGTAAATTTTATTTTAAAATGATTTTCTCGAAAATATACTTTCTTAACGCATTCTCTGCTGAGTCGCGTCAAGCCAGGTCTGGAAAGAAAATGTGTGTTGTGGCCGATCATATCACCATGGAAGTGTCAATATAGTGTCAAAAAATAAGTGTCCACATTAGAATTTAAAGTACATAATGAAAAATGAAATATTTAGATTTATCGTGGCTCATTTACAATGAATTTGTGTAAGTATTTCGAGGGTGCTGATTTATAATTCTATTGGTTTTCAAATTTGTAGAATAAAGCCTGAGCTTTTAGATTGAATTGGAATAAAACGGCACTTTTATGGTAAAATAGGAAGAGTTGGTGCGAAGAGTCAAGATCCAAAGTCCAGACAATAAACAAGAATGGAGAATCGATTAAGTAAATCTTACTTGGGCAATATTTTCATCTTAGAGCAAGAAAAGGTTGAGAATGCAGATTTTGGAGCAAGTGTTTCTGGTTTAAGCAAGAACAGAAAACGTTAATTATAGATGTTCCTCGCTTAGCAAATATTTAAACCTTGAATGCAGTTTTGATGCTTAACAAAAGTTCCAACAAAATTGTATTTACAAGTGAATTCCCAGCACATCTTGCCTTTTCCTGCAACTTACTACATACCAAATAAACATCCTGAAAAAATAATAGTGAATTCATAAAATTGGCACACTAGACCTGTAGTTTTCTACAAACCAAGTTCTCTGTAAGTTAACTTTGAACTAATCAAACTTGCTAGAACAGAACTTGAACATTTCTCAAAATATATCTCCCCCTCAGCAAAATTCAAGCAGAAACAGACCGGCCTTGTCTAGAAGAGATAAAAGTAAGAATTGATGTACAAATTAAAAAATAATAAAAATAATAATTTTAGGTCAGTAGATTCAATCGAAGAAAGTATATAGCAAGCCAATATTCTATTCCTTTCTATAAGAAGTTACTAGTGTAATCACGTTAAATATATACGGTGAAGTGCAAAAGGTCAAATATTCTATTCACGAGTCTTAAAATCAAGAAAAACACTGCACAAGGAACATGATAAGCGAGAACAGTCAAGATATCAGTTCGGATCCACAATTGCAGATCAGCTTCACCAGTACTAGTCTACATTTGACACGTCAAATTAGCCATTTTAATTTCCATGAAGTTTTTTTTTGCCTCTAGGTGGGTTTCTTCATTAATAGTAGACATTCTTACCATTATTAGAACCATTACTACTAAATTCCAATATCAATTTTCATGAAGTAGACAATTAAAGTGAAGACAGACAAATCAGATAAAAAATGATATACATCAATCTTACCAGTGTATTTTAAGGTAAACTGCAGACTAATCACTTGTTCCACCAATCCAGTAGTTGTCTCACTTTTGGAAAATTTACATAATTTGATGCTACACAAATTGAAGTCTCTCATTCACAACTAGTCGATAGAAATTTCTAAATCATACATAGAAGATGACATTTCCAAATCATACATAGAAGATGACTCTTTAATAACCTAACATGCATGAATAAAGTCCAAATTACAATGATGAAGCCAAGCTAAATAAGTATTCCGCTTCTGTTCCTTTATTGTGATTATATAATTTTTCACCACAAATTACAATGGTAAAGTGTAAACAGATGTGGCATTGAAAACTTATATAGTTGATGTGTTATGGACCAATTATGCGTGTATTTGCCACAAATTATTTGAAAATTATTTTCCTTAAAGCTCATTTCAACCATGCATTCTCCAATAAAATAATTTTGCAATAATGCTTGACACAAAAACAAGCAAAGTTTGAGAGATAATAAGAAAATGAACCAAGTATGAGACAAAACTGTTGTCATTAAGCCAGTGTCATGCATCTTGGGCATTCTGCCAAAGGTGAACAAGAAGAATCCTGTTTAAGGTATAATATTGTAGAAATACCACAAAAATACAAATATATCTTTAATATGCTTCTAGTTGGACTTAACTTGACCGTTGGAATGAGATTAGCCAATTCCTCTCAGGTTTGAATTGGCCGAACTCACTTGCCAATTATCATTTGACATGCAATCTAAAGGGAGAAAATTCTCATAGTTGACATGAATATCCATAGCCATTTTTGAAATAAATGTATAACTGACGAAAAGGACAATCCCAATTTAGTTTTTCAAAATGAATGTTTCAAATTTCATGATTTCTTCTTAAAAGATTTAAATAAGCATTGAGGGAACGAGAAGCTGCTGTTACATAGACATAGAATCCATATCTCTTTCTTTCAGTAGCCATTTCAAATCCACTCAGTCAAGGATCCTAAATTTCACTACATCTGCCCTGAAGCTAACATATTCATATTAAACGCATACACAGTTATTAAATGCAGTCATTATTATGAAGAAGCATTTGAAATTTAAATTACCGTTTCAATGAATGCAGCAAAAAATGCAGATCTCTTCATTTCTAGCCCACAAACTCGTTTCTTTTCAAATGGTAACAGAAATGATCCCATATTCCAATCTTTCCACATTATTTAATCCTCTCCTTACACTGCATCCTGGTTTCAGCCGCCAAAAACAAATTTCTTGACAAATAATGGAACACCTATAAACTATTTCATTTAATTAAGTTCATAAGTTATGTTAATCTCATCCATACGGCAAACAAAGCCTCTTTTAACTTCATATAAGATAGCTTATAGGAGCAATTTATGCACTTCTTCCCAAAATCATTTTGATTCCTATAAGTAACTGTTACCTTATTATGAATCCATTCAAACAAATCATGCGTTCAGAAACAAACTGAGAAGCCAAGATTTTAGAGTGGTTAAACCCAGCCGTCACAGCTCTACCTGGAGGTGGACCTCATCTGAAGTTGATGAGCTCAAGGCAATGCCCTAGATTGTTTAATGCAACTTCGGTATCTCAGGGGTTCTCATCGGTGGGTATTTTTTTTCTTCCATCACACCTTAAGTCTTTTATTGGGAGAAATGCTTCTTCATCACCACACGATTTGTATGTTCGTGGAACTCTGGGTTTCCACATAAGTGGACACTTTGATGGTCAATGAACACCACTCTTATCCCTCAGCACATTCAACTCTTTTAGTAGATCCTGCAACCATATTGCCTCTTTATCTTTGATTTATTATGATGCTGCTATGAACACTGCCTTGAACTACTGAACATCCAACCAGTAAAATAAGCCAACAGAAGGCTAAGAAAGTTGACACCCAATTGCACTATGTTCTAGAGTATATGTAGCAAGGTAGAGATTGTTAAAAGTGTGCTTTATAAACTCTATTGTTTTTCTACCTAAAAATGATTTGTGCATACAAAAGTTCTGTTAATGAGAGTTTTCAGGTGCTTAAAGACACGATGGCATTTAATTAACTGGCATTGTAAGAACACTTGGATGTCATCCGTGTATATGGTTATGATTTCACCTGGACTTGGAGCATAAAATAAGTGGACTACTGTTTGGCAGCAATATACACATTAACGTTTCTAAATCTTCAGATTCGCTAACAGATTTTTACTCTTTAACAAAAAATAAATATATAAATAAATTGGTTTCCTCTTAAATTGAGCCTGGGTTTGTAAATTGTGGGCTAGGTTGTTTACTCCTTGGGTAGTTTAGAAATCTGGGACGAGTTTTCTATGCCTTTCTAACGTTCTTGATAGAGATTGAGTGTTGATCTGTAAACTCTAAACTCCTTTTTCAAACAATGCAAGCGGGCTTCATCTGGAGCCACTTCCAAATCTTGGTGTTCATTTCTTATTTCTGCATTTAATTCATTGCTGCAAGATCACAGAATTTGATTTAGGGTTCATATGTTTGGGCAAAATGATCATATCAGTAACCCTCCCACAATATTCCAAATAGGAATTAGGAAATATATCAAAGAAATACTACAAAAAAATCTGAAGTGATACTTTGCTCCTTTTCCCTTTAGTCAATTTGATTATCAAACAAAACTCATCAATCCATTTAATCTGTAACAACTAATCAGATGGCTCAAAAGCAATAGATTCAAATCTATAGTATTATGCCAAACTCCAAAATATACACATATTCACAAGAACTCGAAAAAACTGAAAAAGAAACAAACCACAAACTCCCATACTTACAAAAAAACTCCAGCATAAATTTCAAAAGCCCTTGGATTTTCAATTGAGTAGAAGCTAGTTCAAATTACCCTCCTACTTCCCAAAGCATCTTCCACCGATCAGCAGCACTGGTTCTCAACCTCGTCGTAAGATCCATATCAACCCTGGCTCGACAAGTGGGGCAATTAGGCTTTCTCCCAAGCCACTGATCCACACAATTCGCATGAAATAAGTGCTCACAAGAAGGCAGAATTTTACAGTTATCTCCTTCTATAAAAGATTCCAAGCAGATGGCACAATCCGTGGTTTTTGAAAATGTTGAGGCACTATACTCAACTTTGGGCACAAGATCCTGCAGTTCATGCAAGTTGGAGATTTTCGCGGTGGCGGCGGAGGAAGTGGCGGCGATGGGGTCGGAGAAAAGGAACTCGTTGATGCGGATGCAGCGGCGTCGGAAGGCGTTGGTCATCATGAGAAAGTGAAGAAGAACAATTGTTGCGAAGCCAATGAAGAAAAGGAAGAGGGCCACTACAAGTGCCATTATGATGCATTTGAAGAGGAGGAAAAGGAGTTTCCTTTGGTTCTCGGTTAAAAACGTGCGACGGTAAAGGTGATTTTCTTGAATAAGAGATGGCATGTTGATGATTTTCAGATCAAAGGAGGCAATTTTACTAGATGAAAAAATATGGGCTTTACACAAGAAAGACGAGCGCTGGTGGTTGACGACGCTGGCAGCGGCGGTGGGATGTGGACCGTTGGTTCGTCTATGTATTGGTATTGGAAGATTGGCAGGATGATACCATTTTTCCACAAACTGCACAAAGTTTTCGCCTAAATGGACGATGATTGATGTTGAG